ATATATATATATATATATATATAAATTGCTGTACGTTAGTCTCGCTAAAACTCGAGAACGGCTGAACGGTTTTATCTTATCTTGGTCTTAAAATGTTCGTGGAGGTCTAGGGAAGGTTCAAAGGTGAGAAAAATTCGAATGATTGCCGGGAAAACCTTTAATACCCTTTTTTGACAGCCAATTATACAAAGTTTGCTTTATAAAATCATTATTGTAAATTTTAATTGCAAATATTTTTTTCATCAGACGATTGTTCTTCAAGGGTGGGAGTATGTTTTTTTTTGTTTACCACAGACTAATTAAAGGTTCATAATATATTCGTTTCGACCTACCGTAATATCTTTATGAACATACACTTTAACCTGCGAGTCACGTAACACCTAAATATAGACATCTGTAGACATCATCAGCTGACAGAAGTACGAAAATATTAACTGGATATACTTTTGAAAATGTATATTTCTATACTAACACTATATATAGAGGAAATATTTGATTCATCATCATCAGCTCACTATAAATCGAAAAACACATTGGTACATGGCGGGATTCGAACCCAGGACCTGCAGATTGCAAGCCAAGTGCTTGACCCCTGAGCCACCGATGCTCTCTGTTTGAATATTTGATTGTTTGCATTGAATAGGCTCCGAAAGTACTAAATCGATTTAAAAATTCTTTCAGAGTTGGGAAGCTACACTTTCCATGAGTGACAAGAGCTATATTTATTCATTTACAGGCCTTTAAGATAAATGTTTTACAGTGTTAGAGCCCGCTTTAACATCTTCGCACGAATTGGCCCGGCTCGCCCAGTGAAATACCACGACCACACAGAAGATAGGTGTGAAGTGGAAGCAATTCTGCGTTTCGTCTGATGAGTGTGCGTCCCGGAGGCCTAATTTAGTACTCTTTCCCTTCCTACCCTTTTTCTTATAAGGAAAGTAAGTGGAAGTGGACTTTCCGGATGAGAGGATGCATGGAAAGGGAAAATATTTTATTTCTGTGCATCCTCTCCTCCGTCGATTAAAGGTAGGCAACGCATATGCAATTGCATATGTCTATGGGCAACGGTCACTTCGCTACATCAGGTAGCCGCTCGCTCGTTTACCACCTTATGAAAAATGTACGTGCGATACTTATGTCTAAATATGACGACAATTAAATTTTATATAAGACTTGAAATTGAATGAAGCGCCAAACAACATATTCAGTATTAATATTGTTTCACAGATAAAAAAGTACGCATAGATTAAAATGTAAATAAAACTGAATATGCGTGAAGAAAATTGGGGACGAAGTGAGGCGTAGTTCCGGCCGGTATTATTAGATATGACGTCATCGGTTTTGGATATTACAGGGACGTCCTCGCTGTGAAAATCGCACAAGGTCACCTTATGTCTCGTTACGATTCGCACATCCGTAGATATTTTACGATTTTGCACAATTTTATAAAATTTTACTGCAAAATTATAAATAGACAAGATTAGAATATGTTTATTTTACTTATTAAGTTAAATATGATATTTCAAAATGTCTTTATAAATTGATAAAGATGCAGTGAAAACGCTGTGGGTGGTTTTTGTCGTCCAAACAAGTTCGATATCACATGAGAATGCCAGTATACAATAGGCCAGTAACGCTGGCCTGACGTTGAATATATGGGCTCACTGGCGCCAGTTAATATTTACATTATACCAGTTGTATGGCATCGCTTATTTTGAGCGCCTCTGTCTAAATCTTACTAATATTATAAATGCGAATGTTTTAATGGATGTATGTTTGAAGGTATCTCCGGAATAGCTCAACGGATCTTGATAAAATTTGGCATAGCCGTAGTACATAATCTGGAAGAACACATAGGTTACATATTAAGTTTTTTTAATTCGCGCGAACGAAGTCGCGGGCTATCGCCTGCAAACTTTCAAATTATTTACTAGCGATAGCTAGTAAATAATTAAAAAATCTGTTGTGTTGCCTTTCATCCCGGTTTGTGTGAACAAACCCTTAATGAATGGGTATAAATTAATGAGACGTATAATTTTATAGCTGAGATGACGCGCGAAATTGTGACAAACACGACAATGTCGTGTTTATGTTGTTCAGAAATTCATTTTTTATTGTATTCGCCAGAAAACAGTTTCCAAAACCTACATGCAACTTAAACAATAGACTATGACGAGTAATCATTCCTTGCATTTTCTTTTTAAAAGAAATGTTAATTTATATCCTATATTAATTTTAATATTGCTTATGATAACAACGGATGTAGATTTGAATTTAATCCGTCATAAAATATAAAGATAAATGGCTTAATTTACGGAAATAACTTTCAAAATAAAATTTTCAAGCAAATCGTTTGATATTATAATCATTTGAGACAATCGTGAGTTCATCAAAACTTGAAGTGGAACAGAATTACACAAAGAAATTATAACATTAAATATAGGCTTTAAATAATAAAGAGAGACTCCGTCCACGCGGAATTAAAAAAAAAAACAATTTTAGTAGCTTATGTGTTCTTCCAGACTACATTCTATATGTATGCCAAATTTCATCGAAATCCGTTCAGCCGTGCTGGAGATACTTTCAAACAAACATCGATCCATACATGCAAACATTCGCATTAATAATATTAGTAAGAAGTAAGATAATAAGATCTATTTTATGAACTTATGTATAAATCTATTATATAATGTAAATATTTTCATCAAATACATAAAACTTTACAGATGTGTCAAAATGTCTAGACGTTGTTTGGTTATATGAAATACATAAGAAATCAAACTGCTTGATTATATGATAGAAATCTACTAATAAAATTTTCATTTTCCAATTTATCTGAACCATAAAACTAATACTACAATAAATAACCGCATTTTTGTGAACGTAATATTCCGAAACATTTTTTTTTCGAGATCAACAACACGAAATAACCAGTAGCAAAAAGTAAACAAACCTTCATAATCAATCCCAGCAACCATGCTTTAAAACCGGTTTCCTCCTCCATCGGTATCAAATCGGTTGTCATCAAATCCGTCGTCATAAAATCCGTAGACATTGTTGTCGGGAAAAAATCCGTAGTTAACTCGGTGAAATTCATTTTCACAAAATTTCAAATCCACAATTAAAAAAAAACAATTAAAAGAAACAAAACTGTCAACCGAACATCACTATTCAAATTCGAAAATTAAAAATAAAAATTCGTTTCGCGCCAAAATATATGAACGCGTTCATCTGGTGCAGTCGGCAGCACAAAAGCACGCTTTACACTGATATCAAGATATGACTTGACAATAGATAACACTTTATATACTACATAGTCTTTTATATACCACATACACGATAACGCGACCGGGCAACGCGCGGCCCGACACAGTACTAAACACGAATAACTAAAGGAAAACTCAAAGAACGTTAACACGGTCAGGCTCTGTAAGGCTTGTCTAAATGCTACTAAATACTACCTACTGGTATTACTATAAGGAAAAATTACGTAACGCATTATATTTAAAAATTATAGAAGTAATTTATTGTTACTTTAAAAAAAGAAATCACCAGACATTTATTGTATCAATAAAACAGACAATACGATGATTCACATCAAGTTGTCAAGACACATTACCACTAGGTAAAAAGCCTAATGAAACAAAACTGCATGATATATGGCATTTTCTATGAATTAAGTGAAACACAGAGGGATAGAGAGGGATTTAATTTTATAGATAAACTAGCTGTAGCCTGCAAATCTGTTTGTGCGGAATAAAAAAAACATAAGTAGCCTATGTGTTCTTCCAGACTATGGTCTATATGTATGCCAAATTTCATGGAGATCCGTTCGGCCATACATACATCCATCCATCTAAACATTCGCATTTATAATATTAGTAAGATAAGATATTCCGATTGTCCGCTCTATAGCAGATTCGTTTGAATATCTTTGACACAAATGAAACTGTTAATTGCTTTGAACCAGGTCATATCACGGGCACGTGGAAACAATCGTGAGAACTGTCCATTGTAAGTTAAATATTACGATGAAATTCGACTACATCTATGAATCCAAACGTTTAACGTAACTTAATAATAATGAAAACGTATGAAAACCTCGAAATTATGCTTATGATTGGATTATAACCTCAATTAATTTGATACAATCGTAATATAAAAAACTGCTCTTTGTATACACAAAGTATACTTAAGTTGTCTAACCAAATTCATTTTTAACCATAAACAACCATAACTATTATCTCAACAATATAGACAGAGATTTCATTCATAGAAGTTGACTGTTATGATGTTACATTCACTATTTCAAAAGACTTTTGCCCATAAGCCAGTGCAGGAAGCAATTGACTTGGCAAATATAAGATTTACTTGTTTCGACTTAATGTTCAATGTGGCCCGTAGTGGGGCAGAGGGCGTCCACAGTGCGCCGGCATGGTAAATAAAAAACGTGGTGCGCTCAGTGGCATCCGACATTAAGACAATCGAACTGATACGGCCTACGAGCTAACGCTGAGTCCAAGATATCGCGGAAAATAGACGGGAGTTAAAAAATGATTTTTCCACAACCAATATCAAGAAGTTCAGATGAAAACTTGATAAAAGAAGTCTAAAGAGAAAGTAGGACTTTTTTTTAAATATTACCAGATTTTCTTGTAAATTTACTAATATTTATTTTACCATTCAAACTAAGCTCTGTGCTTGTGCTCGAACATGGTTTACGACAATACTCGAATGGCGGGATTCGAACCCCCGACCTCGTGATCGGAAATCCGTACCCTTAATCATTAGGCTATTGACGCTTTTTTATCATAAGGTGGCAAACGAGCGAGCGGCCACCTGAAATCCCCGAAATAGCGAAGTGACCGTTGCCCATAGAGATACGCAAATTGCATATGCGTTGCCTACCTTTAATCGACGGAGGAGAGGATGAACAGAAAAATGCAACCTCTTCTCAGGAAAGTCCACTTCCACTTCCCATCCTTTCCTTATAAGAAGAAAGGTGGGAAGGGAAAGAGGACTAAATTAGGCCTCCGGACTTTATAGGACTACTCTAGAAATTAAATTTCTGGCACCTAAATCATCTGCAGGATACCTTTCCTTTTAGTATTGCTTGTTAACGCTTTGCAACTTGGTTACTATGTAAATGTTCAATCTTTACAAATGTTCACAGTAATCAAACACATGTAGCATAGCTTTTTGTATACATAACTCATAATGTACACATTTTAATAAGCATAACGACAAAGACTCACGTAATATTGTCATCAAAGTAAAATAGTGACAATGGTATTCAATAGAGTTATATTCGGTTAAACTTGGATAGGTTAATGTTTATTCACCTTGAAGAGGTTATACTACTCAACGATATTGATGATGTTTTTGGAATGATAAGTTAACTCGGTGAAATTCCTTTTCACAAAATTCCAAATCCACAATAAAAAAACAATTAAAAAAAAAACAAAACTATCAACCGAACATCACTATTCAAATTCGAAAAATAAAAATTCGATTGAAGAGGTTATACTACTCAACGATATTGATGATGTTTTTGGAGTGATAAGTGCTAACTGTCTTGAGTCATTTAATCGTTATTGTAGCATCCCTTAGTGTAGAATTCTCATATACCAATATTACTAATATTATAAATGCGAATGTTAGAATGGATGTTTGTTAGAAGATATGTCCAAAACGTCATGGATCTTATCTATTTGACATAGATGTAGAACATAGTCTGGAATAACACATAGGCTACTAATTAAGTTTTTTTCATTCCGCGCGAACAGAGTCGCGGGCAACAGATAGTTCAAGGAATTAACAATTACTGCCACATCCAGAGTCAAACGGAGATAACAATATGTCTTAATACAAGTATTTCGGCAGTGGAAACTAACGGTCAGCTTAGTCAATCACGTTATTACATTCACAATAGTGTTGAAAGCCAGTCAATCGCTACACGTGACTCGGCTTATACCACAAAACTTACCACAGACTAAAATTTAAATTTCGTAATTACTATATCTTTAAAATAAAAAATGCAGCATTGGTATAGTTTCTTATTTACTTTTAAACTTATGATAATTGTTAATTTAATTAATTTGAATAATGTTGTATAATACATTTTGTCATGAAAAACATTGTGTAATGTCCGCTCCATACATGATTTTTCGAAACTCTAAGATCCTTCAACTTTTTCAACTCGAATGGATGCTTCGCCCATATCATAAAATGTATTGACAAAAATCTAACTCCAAAATTCCTCTAAAAAGTAGCAAAGTTTCAGTCATTTGCAAACAAAGAGAGTGAACGAGGAATGGATATGTATTTAACAGAGAAACAAAACACCAAAACTATTCGGAAATATCATAGAGAACTCTAAAATACCACACGACTTTCGTTTTAATTTTGAATTAGAAGCAAACATTAAAAAATTAATATTAATGCATCACATAATCAACATTTTTGTATCTGAAAAAAATTATCTTTATTCTATTTCGAAAACTATTTAAAAACAAATTTTGTCTCAAACCGATAATAATCGATTTATTCGTCTTTGCCAATTCATGGGAAATCGATCAAGTCGATTGAAAATTATGTAACAACTAATTAAAAATGAAACAGACTACTTTGAAATTCGGTAAAACTAATCCGACCATGTAGCGCGACCAATATCTCATTTTCTTAAAAATAGCACAATTTGTTCTTTATTATGACAGCTGGACTCAACTTCGTATTACAAAATGGCGTCATCAAATGGAGACCATTTCATGTAAAGAAGAAAGAGCATTCTTCATAGATCTTTCAAAGACAATATGTTAGATATGTTTACCAGGAACCCCATAAAAAGTACTTTTGATATAACTTAGTTCATTTGTGATGGCAAAATGCTGTTGCGGTTTTTATGGGGAAGAACATACTTTATGATATCGATAAAACTCCATCACTGATAATAGCGTCATCACTCATCGACAAATAAAAACTTGAATGCAATTAGTAAAACAGCAAACCACAGTGAGGAATAGAAAACTCAATTATATATTGTACCTATATATACTTGAAAATAATACCTTGTTTTCATAGCATCACAATCTTACACAAAATAATTATGATCTAAGCCTGAAGTAAACAATTTGTGTACCTTAAGGATTAAAATAGAAAAGATGCTAATAAAATGATTTGCAAAATAAAAAAATTAACATTAGTTTAAGCGCCATCTATTTATCATAATAGAAAATTTAAATCATTCAGACAACAAAAAAGAAATCGTTTGAAATACAGATGGCGTCAGAATCGAAGTAATATTTTTGTTGTATTGCTAGAAAACTTACAGAAAAAAGTGTTCCAAATAATATAAAACATCTTTGTTTAAAATTACATGGTCCGCCGCTCGTCAAGGATATTTGTGTTACCAAAAGGTTAATTCCTTGTACAACTAAACAAAATTAAAAGTAACATAAATTATAGGCAAAGTATATTTAAATAGAATTTGTATAGATTGGTTACAACTTTAAATAACATTACTCTATTCTATGTCATAAAAAGAGCTAACAAGAACGAATAGTAAAAACAATAAGTCTTAAGAAAATTAAATATAATTGCAAAAGTTTCTATGGATGTTATTTATTATGTACTGTCACCCGCAACTCTGTCAGTAGTGTAGTATTAAGATATCTTAATATATAGCTTATGTCTTTTTCCAGACTATGTTCTACAACTATGCCGAATCATCTGTAATAAACATCTATTCATACATCTAAACATTCGCATTTATAATATTAGTAAGAAGAAAAAAGTGGGATCTCTAAAAAAGTTAAAAAGATTTCAAAGACCCTGATTGGTTAATTGTTTTTTATTATGTAAAACATAGTCAGGACTATCAATATATCAGTGACAAGATAATGTATAGGCAATAAATTTTATAATCTTGTTTGAAGATGGAATATTAATAATTGATTATCTATGAAATATCTTCCTTAATTTTGTGAAGAATTAATAATTAAAATATTATGTTTCAAATTTTTTTTAAATCTGATTTTTATGTTATGTTAAATTCAGGACGATAGTTGTTTGATGGTAGACTAGCAGTTGAATTAAACTGAGATTATTGTTCGTTCTTTACCAGTCAATACTAGATTGTAGCAATTTCAATCCAATATGGTATTTTAATGAATTATAATAATTTCAATGGTATAGTAATTACTTAGAATATCTTACTTTTGCATTACAAAGACTGTGAAATGTATAACTAATCATGTTATATGGCAAATTTGACATAAACCTTTGTCTTATTTTGTAAAATTAAAAAAAAAAACATGTCAACAAGACAGCCAACATAAAAAAATACATGGTCATACCTATTTATCTATGTATTCCCTAATGTCATATCACTACATTCCATCCTCTCTCTTACTCTTTGGTTTTTTTTAATATCCTAAGGTGAAAAACAAGCAAATGTCTAATATCTCTTTTTCTACCTATGCAAATATTATAAAGCTTAATAAACCATATCATAAGAATATATCTTTGTTTTCATCATCATAACCTTAAGATGGTGTTCAGCTATTTAAATATTTAAAAATTAAATTTATAAAGTAGTAATGTTAGCCACTTACTTCTGAAGTTGGTGATGGTGATGAAGACTGTAACAGACTCTGGCCTTCAGCTTTGGACATGGCCCATGTCACAATCGACACAAGAACCACCAAACAAGCAGTCCGTAGCTTCAGCATTTTGATGCTGTAATACAATGAAATAATAAAATCTAGAGACGGTATAAAACAACTAAAACAAGAACAATACACTAATAAAATAGTATAACACTCGTAAAGTAACACTTACATTCTAAAGTGCAATTGAGTTGTAAAATAATAGTCACCAGTCAAGACTAATACATTTATACGTCTATCAAGATAAAACAACTTTTTTGAAGACGAAGGTTATTTCCATACAATCAATAGTGCATATCTAAGAACCATGACCACAGCAAGAACCAACGTCACCGGCTCATTGGTGAATGCCAATGCCAACAAAATATGATGCTAAGAAATCTAACTCACTTTTTACTTATACCCGATGGTTTCTTTTATTCTTATGAATCTTACCACTGCTAAATACACTATCTAATACATTTTGCTATGTTAAAATTATACACAAAACTTGTTTTAATTCAATTTCAAATACCCATTTTTTCACTGATCTAAAAAATTACGACAACGTGACAATTCAGTGAAATATTGTCAGTTCAGCTGACATTTGTGACGTCAATGTCAGATGTTTTATTTTTTAATTTTATGATCTAGTAACATAGACTTTTAGGTCCAATGTAATTTTCACATTACAAAGAGTAAAATGCTATTTACTGCTCTTCTGTTCTGTTCTGTTTATGGCTCTCCCTCATCGGATTGGGCCAATGTCAAGTGATTTACTACTCTTTTTGTACATTTTTTCCCTTTGCTCTATATAGTAACGCACGCTTCCGCAATTGTCAAATGCACATGTCAGTCAGTCATCTAAAATCTAAACAAGTCAAGTAAACGAAACCAAAAAAGTGGTTAGAATATAAAAATGCCTCTTGATTATAGAAGATTTAATGGCCCAGACGACAGTGTGTCCTATAAACGATTCACACCAGACTTTTTAAAGAGTTATGAGGAACTGTTAGGTGATTTACTTGAAAAAAATAATCTTAAAGATGAGCAAGCATCGGACGAAGCACAAAGAGTTTGTAAATTTTGTATGTAGTTTCTTATTAACCTATTATTATATAAAGTGGTAAATACGAGGTTACTAATCATATTTCTGTTTAGTTGCTGAAACGGACACGATATCCCAAGCCAAAGGTTCGGCGTATGTAGAAATAAAGAATACAAAAGTTGTTTGTTCGGTATTCGATCCTAGAGAAATACCTCATCAAAATGAGTTCAGGTTGGTTACTACAACAATAATTTTTATTCACATTGTAATGATAAATTACGTTTACTATAATGTAATTAATTTTATAAATTTCAGTCACCTTGGGCAAATATATTGTGAAGTTAAGTTTGCGCCATTTTCATGCTCATCGCAACGGCGGCCGCCTGCTCCCGATGCTGAAGACAAAGCTTTATCTGAAGCTTTGAGACAAGCTATAGAGCCAGCTGTTTGTAGACATTTATTCCCTAATTATCAGGTTATTGTCTTGTTTTACTAATGTATTTTTATTATCACAAAATAAACCCATACACCCAAAACCACCCAGCATGCATGTATAGATGCATAAATATGGCAGAAGTGTGCTAGGACCATGTCGATGGAAGTGTGTGGTGTTGTTCAAATCAACATGTTATTAGAACTGTCGGTATTTTAATTATATTTAAAAAATTTCAGATTGATGTCTTTGCGTATATCATAGAGAATGATGGATCATGTCTGGCTGCTGCTATAAATGCTGCTGGTCTAGCACTCACCGATGCTGCTGTTCCAATGTATGATTTGATAACAGCATCTTCTATGGCAATACTTGATGACAAGATGTTTGTAGTTCCTAATGAGGAAGAAGAGGAACTGGCAATGAAAAGTCAGGAATCAAAAGATATCAATCATGGAGTTATAACATTGTCTATGCTTTCCGAATTAAGTCAAATTACAAGTTTCATACAAATAGGTTCATTGGAGACTGATTGTGTGATAAAAGCAATGGATATCCTTGAAAAAGAATGTAAAGAACTTGTACCGAATATACAGAAAGTTGTTGTCCGTAATGTAATAAAGAATGTAAAACGGCAACAGATACTACATGAGAGTGCTAAAGAAATGGAAGAAATACTTGATGAAAAATATAATCTATGGCAAAAATCATTAAAAGCTAAATCCTATTTGTGTTTTTTTCTTTCTTTTTTCTCATTATTGGCTTGACCAGAGACAGTTTTGTACCAATACCATATGTTATTTACAGTGGTTCTAATCTAATTCTGTAGTAACTCAAACATTACATTGGAACCTGGATAACTGAGAATCCTAGGAACCACAATATTTTTCATGCTTAGAGGTATCTCTAAAATCTCAGCTTCTTACTGGCCAATGTTGAAACACTTATACAAGTTCAACTGTACCATTAAATTTTGTTATTAGCAAAAAATTTTCAACTTAACCCTGCTATTTCATAGCTTCCATGTAGTCAAAATGTCATATCCAATGCCAATCTTTTGCAATTCGAAACAGTTTTAACAGTGGTAGAGCCCGCTTTAACATCTTTGCAGGAATTGGCCCGGCTCGGCCGGTAAAATATCACAACCACACAGAAGACAGGCGTCAAGTGGAAGCAATTCCGCGTTTCGTCTGATGAGTGTGCGCCCCGGAAGCCTAATTTAGTTCTCTTTCCCTTTCCACCCTTTTTCTTATAAGGAAAAGATGGGAAGTGGAAGTGGACTTTCCGGATGAGAGGATGCATGGAAAGCGAAAATATTTTTCTCTCTGTGCATCCTCTCCTCCGTCAATTAAAGGTAGGCAACATATATGCAATTGCGTATGTCTATGGGCAACGGTCACTTCGATATTTCAGGTGACCGCTCGCTTGTTTGCCACCTTATGATATATCATGACAAAAATTCTATTCAAATTAAATTAACAGCTTTCTAATCATATGTAATTGGGAAGAGCTTTTGTCCTATTAGCATTTTGGGAATAGGTTTGTATATCATGACATCACTGACTACAGTATTTAAAATATCTGTGTTTAGCACATATTTATTTTTAAAAGTAATTTCTCAAGTGTACACTTAAAAACGAAGAGCAATATATTAACCATCATAAAGTCTCAATTAGTCTTCTGGTTTTTCTGGAGGTGGCCCACAAGGCTGCAGCATTTTTTCCATTAGGTTAAATTTAACTCTCGCCTTAGACTCATTTTCAACTATTGCAAAGTAGCTTAGTAAATCCGGATGTCCCATATAGCTACAACACGAGTCGCGATGTTGATTCGTTAACCACTCGTATTTTGTAGTATCCGCATGCCCTGTGCCGATATATTTACTCTGAAGATGTTCTAACTGGCTGTGAATGTTGTATCGTTCACCCATTTTGCTAAAATAAATGTTATGAATGAATGAATGAAAAAAAAATGAATTCATTTTAACATTATTTGGTTATTTTTACACTGTAGTCAATAATTACATACCCCTTTGTTGCTTAATATATCCCAAAAATTTATAAAGACAGAGCCTTAAAGTGGAAATGTATTTCCTAAAATATAATTAAATATTTAATTGATATAAACAAACTTTATAATTATTAACACTGCTTATAATATTGAAAATGTCGATAATTTGAGTTTGACAGTGACATCCGGGTGATAGCCGTCATGTCAGCGTCGCTAAAAGCAACAGAGTATTAAATTATTATGATGAATTGATTTCGCTAAATTTACTGAAATTCGCAGAAATCTAAAAGAAAAATAACTTTCTTTCCTATTTATTTATTTTTACATTTCACATTATATACAACAAAATGAATACAAGTTATAATTATGATCTTTGAAAGTCACCTTTGCCCTATCGTAATAAAAAAGTGAATCGGAATCGGTTTGCGGTTTGCGCCATTTTCAAATTTATTTGATGGGTGGAAACTTAGAAGAAGGACGGTTTGTATGGAAAGTGGCGCCACCTTTTATATAATGGTAAACATCATTTCATCTCATGGCTGAGAAGAAGCATCATTTCTGTCATCGAGACATTCATGTGTCATTAAACCGCTACGTTTTTTTCGTATTTCTATTTCTGTATTCTTAGTTAAATGTTGTTTCATTCATTTTGTTTTTAATTAAAATGTGTTTTCGTGAAAAATGACGATGTACGCAACTGTGTTTTAGATGGACTGATTATGGTAAGTTACAATTCAATAAAAAATTTCATGTTTTTCCCATACGTCAGACTCATTTAAACATTTAAATATTTTCGTATTTTGGTGTAGTTTTTAG